GCCTCTGTATTTCTTCTTGAGGGACACAGCAGCTGAAGTGATGATAAAATCAAACAGCACATTAGACATGTTGCAGCGAGACAGTTCATTTCCTAAGCAGGGCAGGGTGGGAACAGTGGCATTACAGCTACAGATTAGATTACTCAGTAGGGAGTTTATTGGCTGATACATAGCTTGACAGGTAATGACAGTGAACTATTAAGGGACTGTTAACGTTATGTGTTGCATCATGCAGCCCATGAAAGCTCCATAAAGGTTTTTCTCAATGGTTATCATGAGAACTGGCATCAGTTGTATAGTGATGCTCAAGACGTTCACTCAAGGTCCTTCCTCCAGCCTGTGTTTGGTCTTGTCTAACGCTCCAGCTAAAACAGCCTTCTTAATCCAAGCCACTGCTGCACATTGGAAGTCACAGTGCCATTGAAGTCCAGGCCAGCACTGTCCCAGATGGGAGTGAAACCAAGCATTTTCAATTTGCCAAAAATTCTTTCATCTTAGGTTTTGCTGCTTAAAATAATTTTCCTGGTTTTTCTGTGAAATGAAACACTCCTAACATTTGATTGAGGAAGAAAAATATTATTCAGCATCAAAACCCAGAAGCACTTAAGTGTTTTATTTTCCCCTTCTTGGCTCTAGACGTTGGCATGGGAAGATCAAAACGGACAAGGTGTTCCCAGGGCTCTCTCAGTACTGGTGTCCTGATTTCACGTGTCCTCTCTGGCCAAAGTACACAGGGTTTGGTGCAAAGCTGCAGTGATAGTCCAGCGGTCTCATTCCAGTGGGCTGAACAAGCAGACCTTAGAGCACATACTGAGGTTGTGATTCTACAGTTGTCACTTTTTCCTTGCTGATTTTCATTCAGTGATAGTTGTCCAAAGATCAAAATCCCCTTGTGTTACATGCTTGCATGTGCTTATGGTCCCTGAGCTGTTTGCCATCTAAATAAACAGAATTATTACCGTGGGAGAAATGCTATTATTTTTATTGTTATTCATTTAAAACAATGGAAAATGAGGCACAAAGAAAACATTTTTTTTTTTTTTTCCAGTGGCTGCCCAGTGAGATTGTGACAGGGCCAGGAACCAAGTCCAGGTGTCCTGAGTCCCAGCCCAGACCTTTAAATACCAAAATATTCTGTTCCTCTTGAATTCAGAGCGCTTTGGCAAAACTTTTCCCAGAGCGTTTCATAATTAATGTCAGTGCTAGACTCTGTACGTGTCTTACCAGTCAGGAATTTGCTTTTATATACACACATCCACTTAAAAACTCCCCAAAACTGAGCAGCTGTTGGCTTCTTTGTGTTACTTGGATGTTTCTAAGGCCAATATGGGACATGATAAATTGAGAAGTGTTGAGTTGAAATATTCTGCTTTGAGTCCACTTAGCAAACTCCAAAGGTCATCTCTGCTGTGAAAAGCCAGTAGGATTAGACACAGTATGAACCTTGTTTCAAGGGTAGGAAAGGGATTTTCAGTTGTGTCAGAATCAAGCTCTTCCTATCTCACAGGGGTGGATTTTATCTAGTAGGAATTAAGACAACCCTAGGATCTGTTACAGTTTTTGACAGCTTTCTGAAAATGAGCTGGAAACAAAGGAAAAGAGAAACATCCCAAAACAGACTATTGCAGCTTGTGTCTCGAGGGAGCAGTTCCCTTGCTGAGATGCATTTTGTCCCTTTTAAGTCTGCACAGACAGGATGCTGTCTGTGAATAGAAATCTGTGGTGTGGCATGGAAGAATGCAGTTCTCCTGAGCAGCTTAAATAGTGGCTTAATAGCAATCCTCTGGATCAGGTCAGCAGCTCATGTGTTTCCAGCACAACTTTTGCCCCATCTCAACCTCTCTAATTACCAGCTTCAGCAGCAGTCCCAAATTCCCATCCTGAGATGTTCTGGTCTGTCCTTTATCCTGGATCAGATGCTGTCCAGCTGCATTGAGCTTTTCCAGGATGGGATTATGTTGAGCTGAGCTTTTTCAGGTTGGGATGTATGTTTCTAAATAGGAATGTCTCTTTTAACAAGAGATTATTTTTACACTGAAGGAATTTTTTTTTTTTTTTTTTTTTACTGCTGCCCTGGATAAAAATTTCTTACATTTTGCCCACCTGCTGAGAAGCCAAGGAGTTATTCTGTAGACTGGTGTCCTTGGGAAAACTCCAAGCAAAGGACTGGAATAGATCTTGGTTTTGCACTGAAATCTGGCTTCCCTGCATAAATTGTCAGCACAAAGCTAATCCTGAAAAACTTCTGAAGTTCACCCAAAGCAAATTTTTTGTGTTTCTGTGGGCATTGCAGCACAGCGGTGTTATGGTGTTCGAAGGGCAGATCTGGGGAGCGAGCTGAGATGCCATCTGACCACAGCTTTCATCTGCCTTTTGGAGGTATTCACGCGTGCTTCTCTGGCCAGCTCTGCCCTGGCCTTTCTGGGAGCCCCACAAGCAATTTTGGCTGTGCTGGAGCAGCGGAGCAGCAGAGAGGGCTTGGGAGAGCACACGGCTGTTGTCAGCCTGGCCCCGTGGCGATGGCTGAGCTTTTCCTCCAAAAGCTCTTCCAAGTATCCAGGCACCTGCTTTCAAAATGTCTCCATGCCCCAGCGAGGAATTTGAGAGTGTGTCTGGAATGGCTTATCTAATATAAAAGTGCCAGTTTCACAAATCTCCTGGCAGATTTGATCAGAATCACTCAGGCATCCTTGACAAGCTCAGCTAGTGATGTCCAACAGCCGTGATGTCTCCATTTGTTACCAGTTTGACCCATGGTAGCCCCCTTGTTTGCTCTGCAGACTGTGTTAGCATTCATTCTAATCTAAACAGCTCAGATGAAAGTGCTGGGCGCTTCTCTGGGGGAGTTGCTGCATGCCAGGAGAGCTGGTGCATGTCCTATTGTGCTCCACATCTTCCTCACTTCCCTTGCCTTTAACCTGGACTCTCTGCCCTTTCTTTTTAATGCAAAAATTATTTTCAGGCTTGCTGAAATTCCATCTCATTTTGAGGAAAAACCAAAGGAAACCAGTTACAGTAATTTTTTAGTATTTGCCACTTGGAAATTGTCTTTGAAAGTGCAGATTCAAAGGGTATCACCTGCTTCCTTTACAGCCAAAACATGTTCCCTCCACGTTGCCCTTAGAGAAGGTTACCTCACAAAAATAATGCATGTCTTCATGCCTGGGCTTGGTGCTTCCAGGGGAACTCTCCTTGTTCAACTGAATTGAACCTGTTACTCTTGCCACACTCCAGCTACTCCTGCTCAGAGCAGTGTTTGACATAAAAAAATACTTTTTGCCATGCTGTCGCTGCAGCCAGGTGCCCTGAGCAAACCCATTGTGATTTTTCCCTTAGTATTTCAACAAAAGCATTCATGCAAAATTGTCATAGGATATACACACACAGGGACATCCTTCAAGGAGAAGGTCCCATGATTTCACCCAAATGTCAATCCCACTTGATTCAATAGGAGCTGATGTATTATTAGCTGTGGTTTTTAATTTTAAAGATGGTTGGAAACTCTTCTGCGGAGGTAATGAGCAATCTGCTGTTGAGGTGGCTGCTCAGATAATTGACAGTTCAGCCACATCGCTGAAGATAGTCACGAGTCAGAGATGAAACTAGTTATTATATGCCTGGCTAGTGGTGAGTGTTTGTATGTCTTCTCTGATCCCATGAGAAATGTGGGGAACTAGGCAGTTTATGGGGGCTCACTGAAAGAGATTTTGGGTGTTTCTTGTGGCTTGACTGAAAAGCAAGCTAAGTTAGACTTGATGCTCATTAAGTGCATTTAAGTATTAATCCAGTGTTAAGAAATCCCAAGGAAGCCACTGTTGTCTCCTGGGGATGAGCAGGGTCTTGAGGGCAGCCATGGCCTCACCTCACCTCACATGGCCTCTCTGCCCTGCTCCAGCCATAGGATAACAGGGTGTGAAGCTCATGCGTCTCTACAGGTCTCTTTTTCAGTTCTCATTTTTTTGGCAGTCGGGTTGTCTGGTGGATATGTGCTCAGGTTCCTGCAGGTGAGCTGCTGTACCATGACAGGAGCACAGCATAGACGTGCCTGAGCTCGCTGGCTCCAGTGCCTCAGGAGGAGCCTAGAAGCAATGGCACAGGATTCGGTGTGGTTTTCACCATCAAGGAGAACACTTGGACACAGCCTTGCCAGGGCTAGCGTTAGTCTGGTCCCGGCCAACAAACTTGGCTGAGTCTGCACAGACCACAGACGTATCCCAGGTGCCTGACTGCACCTTGCTGGTACTCAGTGCTGTTTGCTTTCTCTCAGGAGCAAGTGCATTAGCCATGGAAGTGCTCTGTCTTGTGCTAAGTCATGCAGATGTTTCGCCTGAACATCTGTCCTGCTCACTGAGCTCCCAGCAGCTGCTATGGGTGTGTTTAGCACTAGCATTTCTGTTTGTTTATGAGGCTTTCTCCAGAGTGAAACTGATGTCTGGTCTCCGTTTTGTATCTTTAAATCCAAAGTAACTTGGTACACCAAGACAAACTCCTTATATCTCCACTATCAATGGAGTCTGGCCTTCTGCAGCTATTCACAGCTAAGCTTAATAAATGGTCCCAAGTCCCCATTTCCAAGCAGAAGCCCTTAGTCTGGACATAGCTCAGCCTCCAAGGCTTGAAGAGCAGTCTCAGCAGCTGCTTTCCCCTCCTCTCTGTCTCATATCTCATGAGAGCATCTCTCTGCCCGGGACTGTGCAGGGGCTGGAGTAGCCGAGTTCAGAGGACGTGCAGCTGGAACACAGACTGGATGCCATCACTGGTAGATCACACTGCAGACAGATAAGTGACCCATCTGTCTCTTGGCAACTCCAGCTCTTCTGGTTTCCCTTGCGCTGAGCTTTACTTTCATTTCAGCTGTTTTCCTTAGCCTCTACATTGAGATTTTCCTTGGTTATCCCCATTGTTGCCTAGTCCAGCGGTGTCAAAAGGGTGCAGCATAAACTGCTGTGTTCACTGTCCTACATCACCAACTCACGTGGTCTTTCTCATCTCGTTACAGTTGAACAAGCTGGAGGAGGCAGCAAATGCAGCTCACACTTTCTTCATGGCAAACCCTGAGCACATGGAGATACAGCAGGACATTGAGAACTACAAGACCATGGCAGGGAAGGTCAGCTTGATTGACCATGAGGCCAGGCAGCATATGGTGAGTCTGAGCTAAAATGTTACCTGGGCTAAGTGTCAGGCAGTCTGGAGAGAAAAAACTGAGGAGGCCAAGAGAACATCATCTATGAATGAGGAGATTCTTCCTGAGGTCCATATTACAATGCAGCAAAACAAGCTCTCCCTTCCAGCACTCTCCTTCAAGGCAAGCCAGCTCCTGCTTCTTCACGGCACTATGCTCCTTGTTTGATAGCTACATCCCCAACCTAGTCCCTCTCTTCAGGGAACATTGGGGTCATCCATGGCTGTGAACGTATAACAGCAGGCAGCTTTGATGGATGCCTCCATGGGCAGTGACAGATATGGCTTACGTGTGTTTCTTTTGAGCTGGGTTCTCCTGCCAAGCAGATCTGATTTAGAACGGCTCCTAATGAGCACTGGATTATGCATTGTGAGAAAAAACATTCCTTCTCTTTGGTTTTACCTTCCTGCCCCACAACTATGCTGAATGCCAAGGGCAGGCCGCTGTGGTCTCAGCAGCATAGCCCACTCACAGTCTTGTCTTCTGCCTACCTACTTTTCAGGAGGACTACAGTGCTGGAGTGAGGCACTACGATAAGGAGGAGTACGGGCTGGCCATTGACTCCTTGGAGCGCGCGTTGAAAGGGTACTACTCCGAGGATGAAGATTGCCAGATCATGTGTGAGGGACCACAGAGATTTGAGGAGCATGAGTACCTGGAATATAAGGCTGGCCTCTATGAAGCTATTGCAGGTGAGGTCTTTTTGCATCTTTAAGTCTCTCCCTCTTGGCCCTGCAGTGTTTTTAATTATTGAGTTTGGGCCTTTGGCTGGATTTGGTGAAGTGTCTTCCCCTCCATCACTGCTGCTGGTGAGTGATGTTGCAGGAACCTCTTGGAAGGCCAGGCAATGCAAATCCAGGAACTAGGACATCTTATTTTCATCCTGAACAGAAGCTGGGCTAGAAGAATTGCATTTCCAGATATGTCAAGCACTCTGGAAGAGCTGGAAGTATTGGTGCTTTAACATAAACTGCCACAGCTTCCCTCTGTACACAGTCTCACATACCTCACTGGAATCTAGATATTGCTGGCCTCTGTTTATATTGTCTCTGTTTTTCAGTTCATGTAAAGAGAGCAGCAAAGTCCTCTTGGCCATGCTCCAGATGGCCAGGAAAGCTGCCAAAAAGGCTCAGAACATAGATTTCCCTTCCATCCAAAGGGATGGATTTGTCATTAGTGGAGGCCCACCTCATTGTGATCTTGACTAAAATCTCTGGAGAGAATTGAACATTGCCATGTAATCTTCAGATTTGCATGTGTGGCTCTGAGCCAGAGGGGATTAAAACGGTTCATTCTCAGTAGAAATGAGATTACACTTAATTAGTTGTAAGGAAAAGAAAAGCAATAAATTAAGGCTTGTTTGGTGACAGAAACCTTATTTATCTGCTTGTGCTCTTGGAGTTGCATCGCACTCTGGAGTTTTGCTTCTTCTGTGGAAAATACTTCGCTCAGATGTAGATTTTTTTTTTTGTTTTTGCGTAATTCTGTGTGTGTTGAGACAGGAAATCTAATTGAAATGACCAAGATGAGAGGCCACCAACATACCAGATGGAAAGCTGCCTTTGTTGGGTTTATTTATCCATGCAAAAAACTATAGGAAGTGTTCTAAGGGCTGACTTGGTACCAGTGCAACTGTTAACTGTTCATACCTGTTTTTAAAGCCATGACTAGGACACCAAGGGCCACTTGAAGCTCTCCATGAGAGCAGCCTTCAGTGAAAAGAAAACCCACCTTCCTTCTCACTGAAAGCCGCTGTTTGTCAAACAGGTTTTGGTCTAAATTGTATCTGTGCTGTGCAAGTTGAGTGCAGCACCAATGCAGATGTTTCTGTGCTGGAGCATGTGGAGCACAGACATGGTCATGCTGTGGTGATACTCAACTTAACACATCACCTGGGAGTGAGAACAAGCCAGATGGTGTCTGCAAGTGGTGTGACTTGGCTTGGCTAGATATGCATGGGAACAACAACTCCAAACCTCAGGGCTGTTCAGACACCCAAATAAACAGGGAAGTGAGAGCACAGAGAGGGAAATTTCTTTCTCTTTTCAATCCCAAGCTGTGTTGCTGCATGAGGTTGCAACACTCTCACCTCTCCACCCTAGGGACAGATGCATTTCAGTAATTCCAGTCTATATAGCCTGTTTCTAGGGCACCTTTGACAGTACTAAGAAAAAGCAGTGCTTCTCAGTGATGGATTTTTCCAGGTCTAGGATGCTTAAATCAGTATAAATTACAACAAAATTATTTATGTCCTTTTCTTTCTTGCTTTTCTTAATGTCATACCCTGGATATGTATGGTAAATTGAATAACTGCTGAGGCTACCTGCCCAGAGCAAATGGGGACTGGTGTGAGTTCCTACTTGATTTCTTTGCAAATACTTCAGGCTGTTTTTTTGGCAGCTCTGAGAAATGCTTTGGTAGCTGAGCACTTTTTTTTCCTAGCCTGTGTTTGTTTCTTAAGGTTTTCAATGGTGTACAGAGACACAACGAGTAAAGCAGATTTGTAAGTACATTGCAGCAAAGGCTCTAAACTGGAATCAGGTGTTGGTGTTGGCTTCGAAATTGTGCAACTGATACAATGCCTATATTGTGGACTCCCACCAATTAGAAAACTTTGCTAATGGCAGATATTTACCATGTGCTTGCACTTCCCTGGGAGATATGTCATCTTTGAGAAGCAGCAAACACAGGGATTTTGCTGCCAGTAGTTGCACCTTAGACCTTTGAGACTAGTGGTGCAGATGCCTCGCTTGGCCATGCTTGAGAAGCTGCACTGACCACTGCTATCTAAACCTCCCTGTGCTCTTAGGAGCTGTCTTGGTGCAGAAAGGAGAGGATTAAAGATGAGCTGAAGGAAGGGAGTGTGGAGCTGGCTTTCAATGGCAGCATATGTGGCCACTTCACATCTCCACGTGCTTTGTGGGTGTCCTCGCCTTTGGTTTGGCTCTTGGGGTTAAAGAGCTACCTGACACCTGCACGTCCCACCCAGCTTTCCTGGGCAAAAGCAGCAGGTCCTGGTACACAAAAGAGATGCTCAGGCTCCCTCTGCAGCTGACAGAAGGAAAAACGCATTTCTCAAGGGGGCAAAAATGTGACTGCAACACTCCATTGGTTTTGGGAAGGAGCCTAAGCTCTTTAGGTGCACACTTGTCTGCTGGACCAGAGCAGCTTAAGCTGCATATCCTTCATTTGGGGAGATTTGACCTCTGTCTGTCCTTGTCTCAGCATCATCACCATCTTTCTCAGTTCAGACTCTCATCTCCCTCATTTCTTGGCAGACCACTACATGCAAGTCCTGGCCTGCAAACACGACTGTGTCCGAGAGCTCGCCACGCGCTCGGGCCGAATCTCACCCATCGAAAATTTCCTTCCCCTCCATTACGACTACTTGCAGTTTGCCTATTACAGAGGTAAAGGCTGTCTTACTGTTCCTCATAGTGCTTCCTGGGTTTTGTTACCTTTTGTAGGGGTTTGAATTGTTTCATGTGGAAATCAGCATATTTCCCCATGATGTCTGTGCTACACTGATGCGGTGGCGTGGTCTGAAAGAGTCAGGAAGCAAAGGACATTGGAAATTGTCTCTTCAAAAGTTAGGTTGACTGAAATACAAAGAAGTCTTTTTATAAAAGTGTTTTAAATCATCAGTCAGGTTTTAAAAGCCCAACCTTTAGCTTAAACATTATTGTTTTTTAAATGAATTTAAAAAGGCCCTTTTTCAGGGCCCTTTCATTTGCTCTTTGAAGTTAAAATTCCAGGGATTTATATGTTTCACAGTTTCTGAAACCGATTCATACATTTTCTAAGTTAATGTACAACAGAAATATAAGTTAGCCCAAGCTTATCCCAAGATGCCAATTTTTGCAAATTACCAAATATTTTAAGATTTGTGGTACGGTCACAGGAGTTGGCACCATTACAAAATATCAGGAATTGGCAGTGCTATAAAATACTGCCAGTTGTGTGGTCCTGTATGGTATTTTATTATCTTTTGTTACATACAAGAAAATGGAGGCAGAATTCTGCTATCTCAGGCTTGTGCTGAGAGCTCTTTCCTGAAAAGGGTAGAACGTGAGGGTCAGAATTGCTACTCAAACCTAAAGCTTCTTCATTCATCAATACAATGGGAAGAAAGCAGGAGGAGTCTGCAGCATTTCATGCTGACAGAGGCTTTTTAATTCCTCTGCCCAAGTAGAGTTTTAATGTGATAAGCAGAGCCACTCAGAGCCCTGAAAGATGCTGCACAGAAGAGAGGCAGTTTGCTGCCAGACAGCATCCATATCCTGCCCATCCAGTTGGATCCAATTTGGATATCATCTGACCTGTGCATGACCGCAGAGAAGTCATGTCTCTGTGCCTCATTTCCTTGCCAGTGGAGTGGAGCAGTTAAGATGAAGTCGCATCAAAAGAGCCTTGTGATGTGCTGGGCTCACCCTTCAGCTGATGGAGAGCTCAGGATGGGCCCCCTCCAACTCTGCAAGCTCCCCTCTCTAGCTCTCCCCACCATTCTCTGCATGAGCCCCTGGCACTGCTGGTAGAGCTGTGCCCTCTGTTTCCCCACCTTGACAACTGTTGTGTTACCTCCCAGTTGGTGACTACATAAAAGCCCTGGAGTGTGCCAAGTCCTACCTCCTCTTCCACCCAGACGATGAAGATGTCTTGGAGAATGCAGGTTATTATGAGGGCCTCTTGGAAGGTACAATGGATCCAGATGCCGTCAAACCCAGAAAGGTGAGTGTCACCTAGGAGCCCTTGGTGGAAGTCTTTAACAAAAGCGTCAGCTGGAAATAAAAGCAGCTTTTCAGCTTTCCCACAGTGAAACCACTTTGAAAACAGATGTGGAGGTACTGGACTAGCTGCCAGTGCTAATTGTCAGGATGCAATTCCAGACTTACTGGCGTGAGGGAAAAGCTGGAAGTCAGGATGTACTTTAAATGGGGACTTTGGCTTAGCAAAGCCTTACGCAAGGGCCAGGAGGGCGATGACCGAGTGCCTCAACAATGTAAACCCTCCGCTCGTTCAGTGCTCCAGAGGAGACGTGGAGGAGGTCTCCACCAAGCACTGAGCAGAGGGCAACCTCCCTTAAGAGAGGGCTGAGAAATATTTTCCCAAGGGGAGGTTACTCTCAGCATTACTCTCAAGTCAGTGAGCTTGGAGTTCAGTGCTCAGCCTGTTCTGCAGGGCGTAGCTTTGCTGTCACAGGGTCAGGCTGGGGTCAAACAACCAAGCAGTGTGTATTCAGTCACCCCGTGGGACAGGCTTCCTCTCCAGCCAGGGCAGCCTTTATCTGCAGCCCCTGGGGCTGCCTTTCTCACAATGCAGAAGAGAAGTTCCCCCGCCCCATCACAGCCCTGCTGAGCCTCATTCCCCTTGCACCGTAAGCAGATGGTAAGCAGGAATTGGATTTTCTATTTCCTTGGGAATTCCTTGATTTCCAGGAAAATCAAGGTGAATTTGTTAAAATGCTAAAAAGGAAAAGGGAAATCATAAAAAAAGAAGACAAGAGAAATTATAATTTCTTCTGTCAAAGTGATCCTAGGGAAAAAAATAAAGATATTGACAAAAACTTTTCCTAGTATTTTGAAGTTTTCTGTTAAAAAATACTCAATTTTTTGCTTTGCAAAGTAGTTTTCTCGGAGGAAACCCCAGTGGTTTGTTTACACATTTTTCCAGATATGTGGTGCCCACCCTACTGCCCTGAGTGCATCCCAGGCTCTGAAGCTGCAGCCCACCCACTGCCAGGCTGTGGGCTCCACATTGCAGATGGGAACCAAGTCACATCCCAGCCAGGGTCCCTGCTCCACCAGCCTGAACCTGTCTCCCCTTCTGCAGCTAGGGCTTCTCTGGCCACCCTCTTGCCCAGACATTTAGAGGCTTTCCAAGGTTCTCAGCACACTCTATCAGGTATAGACATGTATTTGGGTGATTCAGGGTTCCTGAATGAATTGCTGTTCACCTTCCCTTCTGTAATGTAGTGAGGGGCTCAGCCCTGTGTCCAGGGTTGCTCTAAGGCTTGACCCAAGCATCCCTCACCTCACAGGCGTCTGTAGTGGTGCATAAAAAGCAAACCCCTCTCGAAGCAGAGGTGCATTGCCTGTGTCTTGCGGAAGCTACGTGTGCAACCACCCCGTTTTCCTCCTTTTCAGGAAGCTCAGACGCTGCTGCGGCGCCATAAGCTGGAGTCCCACCTCTTGCAGGTGGCTGCGGCTGCTCTGGGATACGCCTACTCGGAGCCGGTAATGCCTGGGTCTGCTATGGCAGTGGCCTTCAGGAGGTCACAGCCATAGGACCAGCTTCCCCCCCCATCCCCATCAAGCGAGTCCTATGTAGTGGCTCAGGAGCTGGGTCTTGGCCGGGTTTGTTCCCCATGGGAAGATGGTGATGGCAAAGCGAGGAAGGCAGCCGTTGGGGTGCTGAAGGAGAAGCAGATACAACCCAGCCCGGCTCCCCTGCCATGATGTCTGGCTGTGTCTCAGCCACTGCCGTGGTGGTGGTGTGGCGCTGGGCAAGCTGGGCTCCCTCTGTACTCCTCATACAATGCCAGTTTGGGCTGGGCTTGCATTTTCAATTTGGTGAACCATGCAATTGCTCAAAGTTGTGTGGGGTGGGTCCATATTAGAGAGGCTGGCTGATGTCCCCAGGTGCAAGGCAGAGCAGGTAGCTCCCTGGCTTCGGCCGGAGCATCAGATTAAGAAACACGACCTCTCTCTCTTCCCACAGAACTACTGGAACAGGTACGGCGCCCGCCAGGATGAACACAGGTGAGCCACCACCCACCCCAGCTGAGTCCGTGGCTTCACCGCTCCCTGCAGTGGGGCGAGGGGGTGTGCCACTTATGGGGTGCCAGTCTGCCACTCAGGGGGTGCTGCCTGTCCCCCTCAGCATACATCATGGCTGAATTAGAGCCCTTTGCCCCTTACCATTATGAACAGTCCCACAAGCACCTTATTTTAGCAGAGTGCCTTAAAACCAGCAATGGTCTAGGGGGATGGTCTTGGTCAATGAGGCAAGTGATGCTCTTCAGGTTTGTTGGTGTCTGTGCTTTACTGGTGGAAACTGCTGCTCCCATTACCAGAAAAACATGGTTTGCCACAGGACAGGGTGAGGGCTTCTATTTGTGACGTATGTACAAAGTACAAATTTGCTGTTTTTTAAAAATGTATTGCTTTTTGAAGGGTGCAAAACAGCACAGTTCCCAGAGCTGGAGATCTGTGGTCATGATGTTCCTCTTTTCTCTTGCTCCTCAGTGTCCCATCAAGTATTAGCAGTGAACCAGAGGATGGGCCCCGGCTGTCTCTGGCAAAGAAAACCATGCCAAAACCAGATCGAGAGTTAAAGGAGGGTAAGTCTGATGAAGATATCTCAACAAAATTAGAAGGTTTTTTCCTTCTAGTTTGATGTGGAGCTGGGAGACTGGCTCCTCCTCACCATGGGGAAGGTGACACCAGCAAACTGTAGTCTTTCCTCCAGATGCTTTTAAGATTAAAAAGTCCCCTGTTGTCCAGGCTGCAGAAGGATGGTTGCTGAAGGTTTTAGGAACTCTGGTGCTGATGCTTTGCTGAATGTGCTGGATCACACCATATTAACAACTATTTCTGTTTGCAAACTGGCTTGTGATTCCATGTCTTGGCTTACATCAGGTCACTTGGTGTTAAGGCTTGTTGGCAGACATTTCAACGGATTTTAGCACATATTCAGCAACCACAGAACATACCATAACATCTCCTACTAAAGAGGAGATTTGCCCCGTAACAGTTTTGAAAAACTATATTGTAGCCAAATACCAAAGCATGCTCCTCGCTGCAGACCAACAGAGCTCAAACCAGGAGGAGTCTTGTGTCTCTGGTGAGCCACCTCCACAGCAGCAGGCAGTTAAACCTCCCTGTAATGCAATGGATGGTTGTCCTTCTGGGGGAATTTCACAGCCTAAGTTGTCTCCAGCTGCTCAGTGTCTTGCTCAGAGCATTGTTAGACCTTCTCTAGCCGTACGTAAAATGGGGGACTACCACAGGAAGATCCTGAAGAGCTTGCTTAATCGAAGAGCTGGTTGATTTATATTTCTTGGCCTATTTGCCTTCTATAACCAAATAATTTCAGAGTGGATCTTTCTCTGTTTTTTCTTCTCTCTATGCTTTTATTTTGGTTTATTTGCAGAATGTCCTCAAGTTTACTAAGAAAACTGAAACCATTCAAAAACAAAACCGGATTTTCGTCCATCCAGCTGCTTCCATTTTTTTTTTTTCTTTCTCTCTGTTCACTTGGGAAAAGATGAGAAAAGGTCAAAGGAGAAAAAGAAAAGCTCATTTTAATATTGTAATCCTCTTCTGTACTTCTCTCTTTCCCCCTTCTTCCTTTCCACCAATTCTTTCACTCCAAAAAGTCTAAAGATTTCCCCAGTTTCTTTGGGGTGTTTTTCACACAGCATACACACAGGAAACAGGTCTCTCTCTGCTAGTGCTTAGAGGCCATGGGGGCAAGGAAGTCAGCCAAGAGCGTGCTGCCAATGTGGGACAAGGGTTCAATGTTCAGGGCACACGGCAGCTTCTCCATGGAAGGAACAGAAGAAATTGGGGAAACTAGTGAGTGGTGCCTTCTAGGTTCACCTCTCATGTGCCTATGGCTAGGAAGGAGCAACATACAAGCTGGAAAGCTCAGCCCTGAGTTGGAGTGTGCCAGGAGTTTGGATTTCAGAGTCCTGTTTCTAATCCAGCTGCCTTTATAATAAATCCTATTATCAAGCAACAAGAACAGCAAAGCTAATATGAGGAATGTCTCATCTTTTCCATTCCAAGAAACCTAACTCTTCAGAAATAAAGTCATGGGCTAGTGGTGGGGCTTTGATGTTAGGGTTAGGTGTCCTCCATCGGCCAAGGACACCTTCCAGAAACACGAAACACACTAGGTGTGTTGACAGGAAAAGCAGTAATTACAAAAGCAGTGTAACAGAGAAGTTTCCTTGTGCCACATGGTGAGAGGAGCTCTGTGGCCCTGTTTCCTCTGTTCTATTGCAGCTCTAAAAACAGTTAATTTTCCCCACGATTTAGTTGCATTTTACCTTTCTTCTGGAGGAACATCTGGTTTAGGTTTTTAGTGTTGGCATTTATTTCATTCTCCCTCTTTGAGGAGGTGAGGGGAAGAGCTTTCAGAAGACGACAATTTAGTGGCTTTGACGTGTTTTTCTAATCAGGCAAATTTGATGGGGATGGAGCCAAATTTCTTGTAAAGAGCTAATCTCTCTTTTCTCCTTTCCCGTTTGCTCAGCATGTGACAAGGCTCAGTCACCTTGTACCAGGTGGGAGCCCATCAGTGTGCAAGCCCAGCACACTGGTTGTATCCCCATCACAGGGATGCTACCTACCTGGGACCCCCAAAATGCAGCCAAGCCATTGGCTTCTGGCAAGCAGAGGCAGGCAGCTTGAAGACAAGGAGTGAAGGATGGCAGGGATGGCCATGGCACCTCCTTTGCCTCTGCAAAGGAGGATTGTCCTCACGGTCCTCCAGTTCACCCATTCCCAGCCTCAGCACTGCATTAAGGTTTTTTATGCATGTAGAAGACAAAAACCCCACTGATGACAATTGCAGAGAGAGGCTTTGCCTGCCAAGCTGGCAAGATCCACAGAGCACAAATGCAATGGAAACTTCTGGCCTCCACTGATGTTGGCCGCTGGGCAGGAAAGCCAAGTTAACTGGTGTCTCCCATTGTGTCCCGCTGAGTTTTGGTGTTTTCAGGCTGTAGTCCCTATGTCTACAAAACAGCTAATGAGAAGGTGGAAAATGCTGATGCTCTTGCAGCAAATTGATTTAATCTCCGTGTGTTTCCATTGCTTCTGTTTCCTGTGTCGCTGAGATGAGGCCAAACTCTACTCTCTGCTGTGAAGGTCTTTCCCTGGCAGCACACCCGGGTAACTTCAGCTGGCCTTCAGCCACAGGACAGGATGTCAATACGGCCAGGGCATGTTCAGCGGGGTGTTTCTGTGTCTCTCTTTCCATCAGGGGGTCCGCTTCTCTACAGTGACGTGAAATTTGTCTACAACTCACAGCAGCTGAATGGGACCCAGCGAGTACTCCTGGATAACGTCATCTCAGAGGAGCAGTGCCAAGAGCTTCACAGAGTGGCCAGTGTGAGTGGGCAATGTCCCTGTGGGGGACACGACTGCCACCTGGGCTGAGCGCCTGGTGCTCTCCACAGCATCTGGCTTGTGAGAGCTGAATGTGGGACCAGCCCCCGGAGACATTCTGGGTTCATGCCACTCTCTTGAGTGCTGCAGCTGATACAAGGATGACTGTGGAGAACAGTCAGATGTTTATCCCCGTAACACATACAAAACTGCAGCACGGGAGCTGCTGTTCCACCCTGGGCTGTTCTTAGAAACATGCTGCAAGACAGTCCATGTAGAAATAGCTCTTTGCTGTATGTTATACACAACCCCAAAGGACGCTCTTACACAGTCCTGGTTGAGCCTTCTCATTCATTGTCAGCTGAGCCTGGGAAGGGACTGAGGGTGCCTGCACATCCCCAGCTGGGAGGTGGGTGGCTGTCTTCCAGTACCTCAGAATGGACTGCGTTTGTGGAGAGCTACAGAGCCTTCCTCGTGAATGCAGCCCTGGGGGGTTTGGGGAAGAGGGTTCCAGGTGCTTCCATTGCAGCTCCCCCTCTCATGGGGAACCAGTTCACCCCTCACCTGTGTTTGTGTTTTTCAGGGGATCATGTTGGCTGGAGACGGTTACAGGGGCAAAACCTCCCCCCACACCCCAAACGAGAGATTTGAAGGAGCCACCGTCCTCAAAGCCCTCAAAGTACAGCTCCTTCCCTCCTCCTCCTTTCCCAGGCCCTCCCTCCCAGCCAGCATGTGGTGCTGACCCTCTCTCGCCCCTTCTCCTCCCCAGTATGGCTACGAGGGCCGCGTCCCGCTGAAGAGCGCCCGGCTCTTCTACGACATCAGCGAGAAGGCCCGCAGGATCGTCCAGTCCTACTTCATGCTCAACTCCACGCTCTACTTCTCCTACACCCACCTGGTGTGCCGCACCGCCCTCTCCGGTGAGGGCTCGGGGGCTGCTGGCAGGGCAGGGCTGGGACACCAGGAGGCGTTCAGCCCCCCTGGAGGGGTTTACACAAACCTGAGAGTGGGTCTCTTTTGCCCAGTGCTTAAACTGCTGGCTGAGGGCTGGGCAAAGTCACTGTCCCCTCAGCAGCAAAGGTTGGTGAAGAAGCTCATTTCTGGCATGTCTCTTGTTTTTCATGTCTCAAACTTCTCCTCTTTTCTTCTCTCTCTTCTCTTGTCTACTCTCACTGTCCCTTTTCCTTTCTATGCCCCAGCCATCCATCTCACTTCCCTGCAGTAGGGAACAAGCAGAGCTGTGCAGATCTGAGTTGTCAGGTGTTGCCTTTTCTCCCCAGCCTTTCCTTTCCTCCTCTCACCTGTGGACACCACCCAGAGTGGGGTTAGAGTAGGCTCCTCATCATGATAGACCCCACAGAGCATGGCGTTTCCATGTCATCCACCCGTTCTCCTTCCCCCTTCCTCCACATGGTCCTGCCTAGGCCAGCAGGAGAGAAGGAATGACCTGAGCCACCCCATCCACGCGGACAACTGCCTCTTGGACCCCGAGGCCAACGAGTGCTGGAAGGAGCCTCCTGCCTACACCTTTCGGGATTACAGGTAGGCAGGAAGGGAGGGTTGCCACTGGGGACCCTCCTCAAGGCAGGGCATGCTGCCTTACAGGTTGTAAGCCCTAAAGCCCGTACATCCCACCCACAGCAGAAGTGATTTCCAGCAGGTAGTTTCTGATGGCAGCAAACATTGTGGCTGAGCTTCCAGCCAGCGTTTAACTGTAATGGCTTTCTGATATTTTAGGTTCAGGAGATCCCAGCTGGGGCCCACAGGGCTGTGTCTCTGTCAGGTGGTTTTGGTGCAAAACAGGAGGGTGAGAGCTGGTGGGACCTTGGGGACATTTTGAGAATTGTTCCCTAGCCAAGGAAAATTCTGCTGGTTCTCAGCTGTGCCTCCAAAAGGAGGCACTTTGGTGGTCCCAACTGGCCTCACAGCAGGACCTCCCCTGCGTGGCAGACCCCAACCTGCATCTCAGTGGAGTGATGCCAGATCTGACCTGGAGGCACAGGTCAGCTCTGCGCCCCACTGCTGCTCACCTCACAGGGATCTCCTGCTTCCTCCCCCAGTGCCCTGCTGTACATGAATGCAGATTTTGAGGGAGGCGAGTTCATTTTCACTGAGATGGATGCCAAGACTGTGACGGTAAGTCAGTGCTGTGCACCAAACATTGTTCCTCAGCACCCTCTACTGGGGCTCGGGGCTTCCCCAGGCAGCCCATGGCTCCTACCTTGCAAAGGGCCCACACCAAATCCTGCTGGCAGAGGTGCACAGACCTTCCGTGCCCTGCTCAGACACTGCACTGAGCAGAAGACCTGCAGATCAGATGAGAGTCATTCCTGCCTGGAGGACCACTGAGCTGCCACCCCGTCTCGTGGCCAAACAGGAAGCAAGGTCTCTATGGATACTCAGTGTCTGGCCCAGAGCAGGTCACAGTAGTGGACATCAGTCCCTGCGAGGGATGGGGCTCAGGCACAAGCCCCTACCCCTGCATGGGGCCGTTTGGGAGGCTGGGCACGCACTCTGTGGTTGGACAGTGCATCTGGGCACCATGCTGGGGCTCTGAATTGCACTAGATGCTGGAGGGTAGGTTGCATCTACCTAAAACCAGTGCCAGGGGATTGATTCTGTTGTCACTTCTGCCTCTGAGGTCCCACAGGATACCTCTTGTGGACTCATCAGAGAGAAGAAAGGTGTTTCATAACCTCTGCCAGGGTTAGCCTGAACCTCCCTAGAGCTATGCCATGGCACTGTTTAGCCACAGGTAACCATACCTGCAGGCTTTGCAAGGACTCCATGCCACCATCTTCTACCTGCAGGATGCCTGTGCAGCAGGACCAGGCCTCAGGCCTCCCTCTTTACCCCACGCACTTCTCCAGCTATGCCCAGAGCTCTGCATGTCCTGTAGAGCCACTCACTGGGTGCTGGGGCAATGTCAGGAGGAGATGCCCAGTAAGGGCCCTGGGCCGTGGCGAGCCCAGACAGGGGCAACCACGCTGCTCCTTGCCACCCTGCTGTTGGCTGTTTTCCCCAGGCCTCCATCAAGCCCAAGTGCGGGCGAATGATCAGCTTCTCATCGGGCGGCGAGAACCCCCACGGGGTGAAGGCAGTCACCAAAGGGCAGCGCTGCGCCGTGGCGCTCTGGTTCACCTTGGACCCTCTTTACAGAGAGCTGGTGAGTCCCTCTGTCCTCATGTGGGGGGAGCGAGGGGTACCCAGCCTTCTGGAGGAACCTGGACCATCTTAAGCTTTAGGTCCCGGCACATCTCTTTTCCCCCCATCGCACCTCCTGCAGCAGCCTTCCCACCATAGAGACAGGAGCCGGTGGTCCCAGGAGTGCAGTTTTCCCTGCCAGCCGAGCTCTTGGACACCCATGGCAGGGGCCGGGCTGGGCTGGCCATTCCTGACACCTAGTGGCAACCTGGGGAACGGGAAAGTTCTCCACGGCCATCCACAGCCGGCAGGACAGCGGTGTGTGTCCGGCAGCAGACCCTCAAAAGCAGTTTGGCAGACTCAAGTCCACGGGTCTGGGCATTCGGATGCCTTGGGAGTTCTGGGCTGAGATGCCTTTCAGCAGGCAACCTCCAAACAAAGCTACACGCAGGGAGAGAACAAACCCCTAGTGCCTTTGCCTTGTGGAGCAGGTGGGCTTATTTTCAGACATGCGCTTTACTATCTCTCTGCTTTTTGGTGCTAGCTGAAATTCCTCTGTGCTTGGTGCATGTGTGACAGGAGATCAGCCCTGGCCAGGGAGCTGGAAATCTGCATCAAGCAGAGGGGCCAGGAGGAGGGTACGCTGTGGCAGTGGCTGCTAGTGGAGTGTGACAAGAGACCAGCAATATGTCAGATCTGCCCCAAGCACCTCAGCCCCTGGAGGGAGGAGGGAGTTGGGTATTGAGGTGCAAAGCGTTTTAGTTAATTTTGCCCAGCAAATCCCAAGCTGAACTCCCAGGCTCTCCTGTTCTCTCAAATGCTGTGCTGGTCCCTGGATGAGCTGCTTGCTGTGGGTCCTCCCAGAATGCTGAGCTGCAGTGAGCAAGCTGAGAGCAGACCCTGAAGCTTTGCTGTTACCATTTCTTCCCGTCTCTCACAGGAGCGAATCCAGGCGGATGAAGTGATTGCAATGTTGGACCAGGAGCATCTAGGACCCAGCGAAATGAACATCAACCCAAAGGACGAGCTATGAACTAGGCCAAAGACTTTTTCTATTAAATATTTATTTAATATTGTTAATCTTATTAGAACCCTTCTATTTTTGTACAGAGTGGCTGTATAAATTAACAGGTTATTATGATTTTGGAGTTTCAGGAGTGCCTCTTCTGTGTTTAGCACAGCTCTTGCTGGGACCCCTCACTGCTGTGCCAGAATCTCCTGCTGTGACTGACTCTGCCTCTGAGATGCCCTGTCCTTCCTTAGCACCTCTCAGGACTTATCCAGGCCCACTGTGCTCTCTATGAGGACCCCTTCTTCTCCTTCCTTAAGCCAGAAATAGCTGCTTCTCTTTAGCCTCTGCTAGAGCAGTATCTCAGGTGTGATAACAGATCAGCCTTGCTGCCTCTGCTGAGTGATGGCTGGGGGAAAGTGGAACACAAATCACTTATTTCCATCTCAGAACCTAAACCCCAGTCCTAGCAAAATGCATATTTCTCTCTCGCCATGCAAACCTGTCATTTGAGCATTAATTCTGAGAAGAGCTACCAGAAATCACCTTCTGGGCAGGGACATGAGCAAGGTAAGCAAGGATTTGACTTTCAGCTGACTCTGTTGAAATAGGGTCTGTCACTTACGTTCAGTGGCCTGTGATGCATGAAAGAAACTGCTTCACACTGCATCCTTTGAGCTTCCAGCCCAGTGCTGCTGCTGGTAGAACCCAAGGTTAGAAGTCATAATTTCTAGGACCATTTTGGAAAGCAGCAGAAAGGCTTGCATATGTTAGAGTTTTACTCTAGAATTTACTGCAACACTGCTGTCTCTCCAGAAATCTCTGCAGGGATCTTGGCTGGAGTTTGCATCCCTGAGCAGCTTTGCTCTGCTCCCTGCTGCACTGACACTTTCTCAGTTCTTTTCTGCTCCTCTCTGCCAGCTTTGGCATTTCCAAGACACAAAATCTGCAATAGGGAATTGTCTTTGCTCATGCAGCTTGTGCTTACCCAAATCTCCCAGGCTCAGCAGCACTCCCTCTCCAGCCAGTCACTGGTTACAAAGGCCATAGACAAGGATGGTCCTTCTCAACAGCTGGTCCTTAGCAAGAAGGGGAACACAGCACAACTGGAAAAAACAAACAATGCCCAGACTGTGAAGGGGGCACCATTAGTGCCTAGAAAATGATGGGTCATCTGCTGTACCTCCTCCTGTCTGGAATCTGCAGGGGAGAAAGCTCTGAGTGTTTCTGAGCCACGAATGTAGCTTGTGTCTGGGAGATTATCATCTCCCCTCCTCACAGACTGTTGAAAAGATTCATCATATTGTTTCCCCTGAGAATTTGCCACAGGCTTCTGCTTTCAGAGATCCTTCCCTGCTTAAATGCCTCCCCTGTAAATGCTTAATACTCCTTTTTTAAAATAGCCAGAGGAGAAGCTGGAGGGAAGAAGGGGAGGGCAGCTGGAGAGCTGAAATCCTGATTATAGTGTCCCCCATCTGCACCACGCTGTTGCATCCAAGGCTTGACTCCTACATGCTGCACCTTCAGCCTGAGTTTGTGTTGCCGTCTCCCTGACAACCGCATCTGCCTGAGCTCATCCTGCAGAGCTGCACCCTCCAAACAGCTCGGGGCAGCCCCTGTGCTACTGGGGGCTGTGGGGATCCCACCAGCTGGTGGGGGGGACATCGCAGGTCATGGCTTGTTTGCTGCCATGGTGGTTAGCTGGAGTTGTGTCTAAATCCAGGGGAAATAAATGAAACACAATATCTGGGCCTGGCTTTGTCTTTCTTTTGCCATATATTAGAAGGAGAGACTGAGGGGGATGTGGATTGTCTCACAATGAGTCCTCTCCCTTGGGTTTTCCTGCCTCAGGCCCTAGAGCACACGCTGGAGGAGCGTCAGAGACACCGATGTGGACAGGATTAAGGGAAGTAACTTGTCTGTGCATTTGCCTTCCTGTCCATATCCTTTGCTCTGCCTCCAGCCATCTAATAACTTCAATGCCATTGGCACACCTTGGGCAATTTGGAGAGTAGGAGGAGGGTGTCACAGCTCCTGTGCGGTGCTGGGGTAGGCAGCAGGCTGGGGAGCGAAGTAGGATGCCAGTCATCTTCTGGTGAGACAGCAACTTTGGTAGAGAACAGTGAAGCAGCTTCAGAAGCATGCAGCATTCTGGGATTCAATTGCAAACATGAATCCCAAAACCCCAAGAAGGCGAAAGTCTCTGGGCTGCCTGGCTATGCTGCTCACCAGGCCGCTCTGCTGCTGAGACCTGCCTGCAGGCAATGCCATGCTGAAGCCAGGAAACAGGAATGCAGTGAGTCAAAGGCACTTTCCTGTTTGTTTGTTTTTCCAGCTCATTGCTCTGTCATAGTCTAGCTCAGAAGTGGATTTTTTATTTCTGCTGCAACAGCAGAGGCAGTTGCCAGGTTTCCTGGCACGCCGTATCCTCACAGGAGCGAGTTACAGAGCTCTTTGGGACATGCACCAAAATACAGTGTAGGCTTCTAGGTCTTTTTTTTATCTGAGAGGGATGGGTTGCCACCAAGGTGGCTTGGCCTCTGAGAAATGAATTTTGACTCTTAGCTTTGATGTAGGTGCCTGGGATCTGCCAAAGCTGTCAGGATCACATCCAGACTGCCCACAGGGCACCCGCATGCCTAGAAAAAGAAAGCTAATGATAATACCGAATGTATAACCCCCTTTTCAGTCAAATACACCCCAGGGACAACCTGCTGCACTAACATTTTTGCTTCCTGTTACATTGGCTCAAATTGGTTAGTCCCTTCTTGCCCTGCCACTCTGGTAGTTGCTGCTTCCCCAAGCCCCAGCTTGGAGCAGCTCCCCAAGGAGGCAGTGCCTGAAGTTACACCACAGAGAATAAAGCTGATGCGTGTTTCAGAGCAAGCTTTATGGTTCCAAGGCCAGCTCGGAGCTCTAGCCAAGGCTTGGCCACTGAAGGGACCCACAACCTACTTAATGCATTGGCCATTTGTTATACGTGTCCCAGTTCTATCACAGCAACAGGAGGGTTTGGCGATGGAGATGCTTCAACCGTGTCTTAGTTCCTTGTTAACTCTGCCGCACCCCTCCTAATACTAATAATACATGCAGGGTGGGATTAGCAGGGTTGATTTATGACAGACAACAAGAAAAAAAAAAAGAAAACAACTCATAAAGGAATGTAATGGAATTAAAAAGGATTTAAAAGAAGTGGAGTGGCTCTGCGAGCGCGCGCGCACGCTTGGGTGCGGCCGTTGCTCTGAAAGCAAATCCCTGTGTGGTGTTACTCAATGTCAGGGGATCTTCATTAGCAAAGAGCTTTGCTTTTGTTTTGATATTCACACGGGCTTGAGCCAACTTTGGTTGCCCCTTGCACAAGGCTGCTGCTATGATTTGCGGGGAGGCGGGGGGGGGGGGGGGGGGGGGGGAGGAGGTGGTCTGGAGGAACCTGGTCTCTGCCATAGGCAGAGGGAGTCATGAATGTTTCGGGAAAAAGTCTAGCTGACACAGATGCCTTCACTAAGGAGAGGATGAATCATTGCACCTCAGACTCAGGGATGATGTGACAGCAGAGAATGAAGAGCTGGCAGCATCAAGGGCACCGATGGAGAACAGCAGCTAGCAGGGGCCGTGGTAGCCCAGCAAGGCACTCAGTGCCTCATGCAGAGGATAGGAGCATAGAAAACACCTTGTGCAAGCAAAGAACCACCAGTGGGGGCCAGCAGAAAGTTTGAGGCTGAGCCCCTTTGGGCTATAAATGCCTTACTGCAAGTGGCTGATGAAAGCTTCTCTGGAGGCAAAAGCTCACCCCTGAAATCTCACCCAAAAGTAAAACTTGTGGCTATTTACAAATCTCTGACTCCACAGGCAAGGCTGAAATACCTAAAGCTCTATATGTCCAGTGGCTACAGAGTCTAAGATAACCTGGACATGCCCATAGGCATTAGCCTTGCAGAACTGAAGCGTTAATTTTAAGGCAACCGAACTTTGCCAATATTGTTGTGGAGGCATAGGGCCATGTGGGCAAGTCAGTCAGCAGCAGCTCCACTGGATGATGACTAATCCTGATTGATTCCTAGCTGGGTCATGATAAGCTTATGAAATATGGTATATTTGGACCTTTTGTATGTCCTTTTTATTTGCCAGGATCTAGACTGACAGCTCAAAATACAGCAGCTTTGATGAATTTTGGTGATCCTGTGACTAGCCCTGCAAGTGGTCATCCTGGCTGAAGACTCTTTTCTGCTGCCACTCCATCCCACCCTGCAACTGCATCCTTCTTGCCATCTCTCCACCCTGCTCGCTCTCTGCCCCAGTGATGTACAGTTTGGGCAGCATCATCCCTGCCAGTTGCTGCACCTAAGGTGGGCCAATCCCTGTGCAAGAGTTCCTCCAACTCAGAGGCACTGTGGTCATGGGTGGGAGCAGAGCCTGGACTGCTTTGTCACCTTGGCATTGCAGCTGCTGGCTGCCTGGCAAGCTGGAGGGTTTTGTCCAGGGAAAAGATGGTAGGAAATGGAGCTTGCACTGGGCACTGCTCATCCCTCCTGGTTAAACCTGGGCAGAAACAAACTGAGCACTCACAGGCAGCTGAACATCTTCCCATGAAAAACTGCCTTTAGAAAAAGAAGGTTGTTTCCTCCTGTCCACACCCTTGCCCAGCCTGAGGAAAAAAAATAACACAAAACAAGACAGCTGGCTCTTATAGTGCTGGCAGTGAGAAAAAATTGGGCTAGTCCTGCTCTGGGGAAGAACTATATTAAAAAGGAAAGAAGCCTGCCTGTCTTCTGTTTCCACAACTGGTCCTATGCCCACACCCCACCAGAAGAGACACTTTTCCTGTGGGAACTGTTGCTGTTTTCTGTGCATTGGAGTATGGCCCTGGCTGGGTCCCACAACACTGTGCTCTTCCCCAGGTGTATGTCTGTGTTTTTCCTCCCACCACCCTGTTTTCACAGCAGGCACCCAGGCCCAGGGTGTAAGGTGCCTTGGTGCCAGCAACAGCACCTGAACCAATGGAGTGCAACCATTCATGAGGCCAAATCCTGCACTGCTGTTCACCCCAGGCACAGCCCGACCTTCGTAGAATCACAGAATCACTATAGTTGGAAAGGACCTCCAGGATCATCAAGTCCA